CTTACTTCATTCACACCTACACCTTAATTTTTTCAATGTGTTCTTGCTGGAATATTGAGAATCACGCGTTTTATCATATTTACTTTGGTCACGGTGAAAAAGAACAGTATGCAACAAAATCTGTATCATTTGTTCGTGCAATATTTTGCTCTTCCTAACGAATATTAAACGTCGATTTGATTGTAATGAGTACATGTCTTATATAATGCTTTTTTCTACTGTATGCCGATTAATAAGCATATGCCACTCTCTGCTTCTTCTATATTTTCTTACAGGTAATCTTATTGCGATTTATTTCTCATTCTGAGTGTGGATATTAATGTGATACAAATATGATATCCATGCCCACACCCACCCAAGATTTTTGATGAAAAAATAAAATAATTGGAATTTGTGAATATCTTGAGGGTGTGAGAGAAGAAGAGACACCCACACCCATCCCACACCCTTGAATTATTTAATGATGGACGCTAAAGATACATAATGTTGATTGAAAAAGCATATTATTTAAATCGTACAAGAGTGAGTAAAACAATCACAAAACTTTACAAAATAACATATTCACGATTAGGGTACGGTGGTTCAAATAACTACCAGAAATCGGAACCGGATCCGATCAGCAGAGATGAGAAAAAATCGGTTCCGGTTCCATTTTTTTTTGAAATCGCCGTACCCTAATCATCATTCCTGCATTCTGATAGGCAGATACATTTTTCTTGCTCTCATTCCTATGATTTCCTTCCTGAGAAAAACATATTTCATTTTACTTCAGACTTTTACGTAAAATAAAACTTGTCTATTATCGTTCTTACATTCTCAATATCGGAAGGCATATTTTTTGGGTGTGGGTGAGCGTGTGTGTGAATATATTCCCTATTCGTATTCAGTCGCACCCTCATCAACATCGACACCCATCCTCATCTACCCATAGCCAAACCCACACCCTTCTCTCCAGCAAAATACGTGTTCACCGAATTGTCTGCTATTTGTTGAAGTCAAAACATATGCCTCGTTTCTTCACGCTGCACAATATGCTGAGTTTGATGCCGCAATGTAAGAAAAAAGTTGGTAAGAATAAAGTAAATAATCGCTAAAGTGTACATAAACGGTAAAGGGTTGAAAATTTAAAGTGTCCTTTTAGCAAACAAAATTTTCTAAAACGGAACTAAAATTCAAGCAAACAAAAGTTGTTAAAAAAATGCGTAAAACTCGCACATTCAAACGCGTTAACAATGCGTTAAAAAACTCAATAACGTTGAAATCTTTCGAACGTTTGAACGCGTTAAATTATTTAACACATGGGTGTAGGTGAGGGTATGAATATATAGAGTGCGGGTATCACTAATACAATACGCCGACTACTACACTCACACCCAAGAATCGGAATATATACAACATGTTTTGTGTTTTTTCATTGCGTTTTGACAGAGAACATATGCCCTACGAAGATTGAGTGATAGCTGCACCTCTACAAAGAATCAAACGAGCAATCATTCATAAAACACTGGTTCTATCATGTTGAAATGTTGCTCAGTAGTCCGATATGCATGATTCAGCCTCAGTTTTTCCTTTCCGAAACAAACTACTCGGATTTAGTTAATGTCGTTTCAGTGCAAAATTTTTCTTCTTGATGGCAAATGCAATACTATTATTTTTTATACAACGATTGTCAGAGGATACGAAGCCATAAGAAATCAAGAGTAAACTCGAAAATATCATGGATGTGGATGGTTATAGCTAATGCCCTGCTCATTAGGTACACCGACACCCTGAGCAACATCGACGTCCATTTACACCCACACCAACTTCGGGATGAATCTTCACCCACCCAAAGCCAAATCTTTACCCTTCTCTCACGAAAAATACATTTTCGCCGATTTGTTTACTACTCGTTGAAATCAAAACATTTGCCTCTTTTCTTCATACTGCCATATACGTTGAGTTTGATGCCACAATGCAAGAAAAAATTAGTAAGAATAAAGTAAATAATCGCTAAGGTGTGCATAAATGGTAAAGTGTTGAAAATTTGAAGTGTACTGTTGGCAAATAAAATATTCTAAAAAGGTATAAAAAGGGAAGACGATTAAGAGGCACAGCTAAGTCACTTTTTTTTCACAAATCAACCATCATCACAGTTACTGATTTAACACGAAAATGATTGTTATAAGTCTCTTACTCTTGGTACTTGTTACTGCAGTGAAATCTATTAACTGTCCAGCTGGACAGCAGCCGTGTGGTTCGACTAATTGCTATGATCCAACTATACAGGCATGTACTAATAGTAGCACTAGTATTCAATGCATTAATTCATGTAATGGTAGCTGTTACTCAAATTCCCAATATTGTTATAACAACACACTAATTTGTAACAACGGTCAGTCGGTTTGTGATGCGCAGCGC